GGATTAATCACAACTCTATAATAGGTTTCTTTCATCTGTTACATTCATAAGGTAACAATATATCGGTAGATTTCCAGCATATAACCATTGCATTCATCAGCTCAAATACATGAATAGAAATTTAAGTTAACCATCTACAATATATCTGACATCATGGGCAGTATGAAATTTAGATTACTATATTTTAGTTTTAGGAATATTTGATGAAGATTAACTTTTTAATCAAAACAAAATATTTAGAACATCTAAGCACACACGCTTATGGATCTTCCCATATGTTTACATGTCTTGACAAATACACTAATCCACCGGTAAAAATACTAGTAAGGCTAATGGTGGTTGGACTGGCTGAGTGAGTGGTTCAGTTCCGTTAAAAATCGCTTTCAAAAGTATTCCACTTACATCAGTGCATGTGAGTGTAATGTGAGACAACAGTCTCTGACCCTGCACCCGGTATGGTGCTGACATACCAAATACCTGGATTCGAACCCACGATCATAAGTTTCTGGTGTGCACAAGAGACAGGCCATCTCACAAGTGTGCCACCTGTGCCCCCTTTTATTATTGCATATATCTACAGTGAGTGAGTGTTGGATGTTACACTGTTTTTAGCAACATTCCATTAATATGGTCTTTACGCATTGTGCCCATTTGGGAAATTGAACCCAAGTCTTCAATGACGAGCGAAACGCCTTAACCACTAGGCTACCCCACAACCCCTTATATATCTACAGCAGTTGTAATGTATGCACCACAATGACTGTATATACCATCATGCCTAGACTAGCACTAGCCTTACACTGACCCTCCCAATCAAAACACAACTAATTCCACAGTACATAAATGACATTGGCAGTTTATTGTCCCACTTCAAAGTAAACGAAATGCCACTCATACGACATGTCCTATCAAGCTTTAAAACAAACGACAGATATATGATACATTACTACTAATACTAGAAACCTCACTGCATAAAATATTTGTTATCAATGTTTAGCTTTATGCCAATGTTTATTTGTGTGGCTACAACCAAAATTACCAATGGAGTAATGATTTTGTAGCATTGATTGTCTTATAAATTTTATTACAGTATGTGAATTTGTTTCAGAGTAGAATTTGTTTTTGTCATTTCACTGCATGGTAGTGGTGGTCCAATTAATTGAAATAATCGAAGATTGGTCGCAGTGACTAAACGTCCAAGCAATCGATCATGTTTTCTCATAATCGAACACAAACAATTCTAGATCACTTGTTTTCATTAACAGTATTTTTCACTAGGTTGGTTTTGTCTGTTACATTTCATAAGCACTACAAGCTTGTTCCAAGTCATGATTGAATTTATTTTAAAGACTCTAAGAAATTTATGTTCCTCCATACTAGTCATCCTTTAAAGATGTGAAATTTTGCCCCAAAAACCCCCAAAGAACTACATGTTTTTTTCCTTATTTTTTTGTGCATTAACACATTTCATAAATGACGCTAACCAATTATCGGTTGTAATGAACCAATCATCAGTTATGAGATTTTAACCAATTCCCAACACTACTGCATGGGCTATTCATTGGATGACATGTGCAATGTTTTTCTTGAAGTCTGGATTAATCATGTAAACAAGAACCTCTTTTACCCAGACCATGTTACGTTGCAAGTCTTCATATTGGGCCATGGTTAATAAGCCAAGTTATTAATAATCCTGATTAACAAGGTGTGACATGGAAATATTCAACTGCTCACCTGGAATAAATAATACATTCAAGAACCTCACTAATCCAAAACCTCTCATATTAGATATACTGTTGAACACACTCCCGGTGAAATAGATCCAATGTGGACAATACGCAACTGCTCAACCATACAAATCCTATAAATAGCAACTTAACTTTACTAGACTTTATTACATCACAAAAACACAGTGAAGGCCTGTCCCTATTAACAAGGCATGTCTCTGCAGGGGTTCAGTTTTACTGCAGTGCAACTTCAACAGTAGGTTGCCAATATCTACGGAATGTTTATGACCGTGATGACAATAAACGTACGCTTCACCTTCAAGTTTAACTGCTCAAACAGGCCAGCAGGAGATGGTTCGCCCCACCACCTGATGCCAATGTACTTATAACAGTAACACTGAGAAAGAATTTGGGAATTCCAGCGAGATAGCAACTGTACTGTAACTGGAAAATTGCCATCGCTATAAAGACTGCCTGCCAATGGAGATAGAATGATTATCTAATACCACCACACCTGTCATGATAGTTGGGGGTTAGCAAATGATGTTATGTCATGTGGATTGGGGGCTTGGGGGAGAGGCTTGTAGTTGGGAGATGTCATGTGTAGAGCTGAGGGTAGCGGCTGTTGATGAGGGGTTTGGCCTGGGGGAGGGCTGTTGACAACTGGTGCATTAGTAGGGATCAGCTGGCATGCTTATGTGTGATTGACAGGAACTGATTACACTATGAGGAAATTGACCATACAGTGTACAATGACATCACTGTCTGTGAACAAGGGATGTAGTAAATGGTGTGATCTACTGAGATGTGGATAAGCTGTTATGTTTAATTAGATGAACTACATTAATCAAGTTCATGGGGTCATTATCTGCTGATGAATAACATTATCAAACACATTATTATTCCTATACCATCATAACATGACAATTTCAGGCGAGACTGACAGACACCAATTACTCATGCATATCAGTCACCTATATCTGCAAGTAATTCAACAAAATGCATATTTTCGCAGCAAAGAAAACCCACACACAAACACGGCTCCCCTAATTTAACTAAACTGGAAATACATCATTGTACAGTCACAGGTCATAAATAAAAGCCCAAAATCTCCAGTAATCATTGTCTATTCCTAGTCCCGTAATCTAATTATTCTGCCTGTAATGCTATTTGTGCTGCTACAAACCACATAATTTAATGACAAATACATGGATCTTGAGGAACTACAATGTCGGGAATGTAATCAACCCCAACAACATCTCTCAAACTGACAGCTATGTGACATTGACATCCCTGCTTGTCAATAACATGCTGAGATATTTACAAAACTGCGCAAAGCCTGAGCAAATAATTAAAATACCAACTATAAATTTTTCAAAAGTTGGTTTATTTTTCAAGGATTTCTGCCATTAGATCTTGCAGTGATTCAATGCACTGTCAATTGTGCCTCTAATGATTCATTTAGATTATGGTAATCCTCAATCACTCCTGACCTTCAACTGACCATTGCTTTGAGAGTGTGATGGACAGTTCATTAGTATTTGTGGTCATCATAACAATGATTCCTTGTCCAGGAGTGACCCACATAAAAGAAATCCAATAAGACTGCTGACAAAGCATAGTGCCCCTGATAACATCAATGTATGGAAATACTATCTGTCAACACTATAGTGACAATGCAACTTTAATTTCAGATCTGAAAACTTTCAATCCTGGACTTAAAGGAGGCACAGAAACACAGAACCAATACACTGATGTTAACATATCAGATATGGACATCTTTATAATTAATTATGAATTTATAGGATGTTTTAAAAAAAATTTACAGGCTTATTGTGTGTTAATTATAAAATAATATTTTGGGGCTACCCGATGCCATCCCCCTTTAATATCATGTCCTCCCTGAGCTTTTAGCCATGAGCCTATCTTTTCAGACTGTCTTTAGTCAAGAAGGATCACCTTATACTAAACCATATGCTGGGAATGAAACATACTGAAAATTACTATGAACCCTCAAACTGCATTTTATCTCATCCTGTTCAAGATGAAGCAATTATGCATCTTCATGTTGTTTAACTCAATTGTAAAAATGCATGTATAGTAAACGGTAAAAAAATGTTTACCTAAAAGTACTGAGGTAAAAATAAGAGGAATATATGAAATGTTATTTGTTTGTAGAAGGCTCAGTCTTTTCCTATAACATACAGCAACAATACTCTTTCTGTGTGACAAATTCCTGCGCATATTTTCTCGAATAGTCTCTCACCTGTATCCTTGAGCCGATTTTGTTCGTACCAGGCCATAGATTTTGATGTGTTCAACTCTGACACAAAACTCTCCCCTTCCTCCGACATGTATCCAAAACCATTTGACATCGCCATCGTGGCGGAATTTGTGCCACATGTGTCCTTACACTTCCCTCAGATCCGATCAGCTCCCTTGAGACATATAGTCGCAGCTTGAATGTCACGCTTAGGGAGGGAACTTCAAACTCCCAATGTCAACTCCCCCCTCCAAGTTTTCACTGCCCTAACGAGGACAGGTAGGATCCAAGTGTCCCAATTAGGGTAAATCCGAAATCCAGGTACATAGATATAGAGGACACTCTCAGGTATGAAGGGATACGTTCACTTTCAGCCAATCTTCTTGTTGCAAGGCTTTTCAAAAGTTACCATGTGGTTCACAGGGTATTATGCCTGATAGGTTGCTCGAAGCTCAAACATTCAGCTGTTCTAGTCGCTTGTTATTGGAATGTCATATGAATGTCCGATGAACGGGACACAGCCACGGGTTAGAGTGTGGCAGTCGGTTGGCTGACGCACTGCATCAATGGGTAAGCCTGCTGTATAAATAGCTCGCCACTCATTTGGCAAGTGGCCTGTCTGAGAGTCAGTGGAGTGGGAAGAGGTATACCTGGTTGGACGAGCTCATCGAGATAGGGGGAAGCACATTCACTTCCGTCACTAGCAGACGATGTTTTCCTCTATTGTTGTGGTCGATCTCACAAAGAAGCCTTACTCTCAGGCAAATGGTGTTTGTTCTACCGAGGTAGAAGTGAGTCAGAGCTGATCAGCAATCTAGAATGGCTTAGAACTCATACCTGCTGTGCATCTTGGGGTCGTATTTCTGTTGTTTATGTTTTTTCCCTCATGCAACTCCACGTGTGTTTGCGCTATATACACACCCACGTGCTCGTGTTTGGGGAAATTATGGAGGGACTTGTGATCGGTTTCTAACGATTTTTTTATGAAATTAATAATTTGTTAAACTTACCTGCTATTCGTATCACAGCTCTGTCTGCCGGGTCCAGCTGCAATACACACAGAGGAAGAGACTCGTAGTCTTCCTGGAATTGGTAAAAATCCTTACAATGGTACGGTGATCGATCCATGTTTCTTGTATTAGTATTCCTTCATGGTGTGGACTGGTCTAGTTTACCTCGCTGTAGTCATGCCACATCTGCAAGATAAAATAAACTCCTACACATTCGGCATATTTTGGCAGCTAAGTTCATGTGACATGCACAAAAATGGCTAGCAGACAGCGATATTATTACCGGCTTGGCCACGTACTCCTCTTCCGACCTGACCAGCAACTAACCATATTTTGAAAAGCAGGTCTGCTTTTTAAATCAGCAAATCTCTTACCACTTAAGGCGGCCCATAATATTATTCCAGTCGAAAACCATTCCTTTTTCTAAGAACATGGCCGCGAGTAGCCAAAGGATTCTGTCTATGCAAACACAGTTACTTCCCTTTGAAGAACAGCTGCAAATCCCTTCTCCTCCCCAATATTGAATATTTTGTTTTAATATTTTAGAAATTAAATGCCTCGAAGGACTAAATACATTTCTTACAATAACTAAATAATTCATGGAAGATATATCCAGCAAAACTGTGTGTCCTGTTTAATCACAAGTATCGATAAAATCCAAATATGGTAGTTTATGAGTCGACTCAATGGAGGGAGGTGTACCGAATGTGGGAACAGCATTTGTTGGTCAATAATTCTCGTGTCTTCGCAACTCAGCCAATGAAATTCCAGTGAAGTGATGTCACCACGTACCGGTGCACGCGCTGCCGGTGGGATCAAAGGTACAATACCGACCGAGCTGTTGTTTATTGTGCGCATGATTAAACCCGTTAGTACGCTTTGTCGTACCCGCCAATGTGTAGAAGGTACAGGTAATTTTTTTTGTGGGAAAACCATGATTCATGTCCGTTAACAAATGTGAACCGATAGTTATCGTTCACGAAACATACTGAAATGAGTGATGATTAATAATTTCTTGAAATCGACAACGTGTACGTCACCTTTTCCCTTCTGGTGTCAATCTGATGATTCAATTGATGTCATTTTGGTTCTCAGTAATAGTTACGGTCAACTAGCTCCCACCGAACCATGTGAAAGAAAAATCAAAATGTTGCATTTTTGGTAACTGTAAACCGATTATCTGTTCAGAGGATAAGATATGATCTTGACAGATTTGAAGTTTAATTAAAGTAAGCTATCATCCCTTTTTTCAAACATTTTTTTTCTTCAAAATGTTCATTTATATAACTCGCACCTGAACATTTCGCTTCGCATTACAATAAGCTCACGTTGTTTGTATTGAACGTGTATCTGAGTTTGTTTGGAAAGTATACCAGTATGAAAAAATTCTAAATTTTCAAGTCAAAATGTGACTCACTGTTTCGTCGAGGTGAGTAAGCACGATTGGTTGAATTTTCACAACTACCTGGCAAATTGGAACTGTTTGGTGTCGGTTGTGTGACGAGACTAATGATAGCCTTCGGCGTAGCATACTCGTCCACATAACAATTTCAATGAAACATAAATCACAGTTTGTTGACACCTGACACGATGAGAAATATAAGTGATGAACGGCGTGATAACAAGATAAATGAAATGTACATTTCGTGAGACGATATAGACATGTTATACACCAAGTTCAAGGTCAGTCGAGAGGTTCACAACCTCTCACATTATCAACGGTATATCACATATTCTTTTATAATATATTTATTAGGTATTTATGATTTACGATTTCTGAAGCTTATTAATGGCTATAGCTCACATTCAGTTTAACGATATTTCTGATGTGCAAATTTCACATAGCGTTGGAAATAACATGTACTACACAAGGAGATTGAAGTGTGAAATAGACATGTTACCGCCGTTAATGCTCTTGTTGTTATATTCCCACTTCCTGTGGTGAATTCGGCTGATGTTTATGCTGGATGAAACACTACACGTGGAGGACACGCCCACAAATATGCAATGAATCATAACTTCGGCGTTTCATTTTCATCTTTTTTTTCAAAACAGTGTACCGTTCTTAGCAATCTGTTTTCGTTTAAGATGAATAATGATGTATGTAACTAATTATCTAAATCTAGAGCCTGGGTGAACTACGTTTCTTCGTTGAAACAAACATGACGTAAAATATTGAAACTGACATGCATTCACATCACGTTACACATGCGTTACTTACGTGACAGAACTGATATCCATACCTGTATGGAATGACTGAAACACGCCCAATACTGACCATGTCTGTCCAAAGGTGCAAGATATTAATAGTCACAATCATTAGCAAATATGGTTTATATGTATCTCGTGGTGTTTGATAAATCACATCATTAGCTCGAACATGTCCGATTGCGATGCGTTACACTCTAAAGGCGCGGGCATCCCGAGGCGTGTATTAGTTGATATCTGAAGAGTGATATCATCACATGGATTAGCCAGTCGTGTCAAATTGAAAGTGGATATTGTGACGCACTCTCATTATCAGTTGGTGATAAAATCTTTGTACCGTTCAGATATTATGAAATATATTTCTCATAATTCGATTGGTAGATAATACTGAAAATTCCAAGATTTTACACAAGATTTTATGATAAGTGGCGAACCAGCGGATGAGTTTATGAGGGGGTAAGACGCGGTCTAAGGGAGATAACCCGTGAGGTCTTGGCGTTCAACAATGTCCGCATTGTGAGGTGAGGTGAGCTAAGGTGAAATTGGGTTTAATGTCGTGCTTGAGAATATTTCGCTCATATGACGACGTGCATGCGTGTGTATGTGTATGTGCGGCTGCTTGTACTAGCCCAAACTGAAGCTAGTTTTATAGTGCTAGCCCACTGAGATACCATGCCGCAGTGAAGCATGAATACCCCACTCAGACACATTATACTGACTCCGAGCCGACCAGTCCTTGTTGTACCCATTAATCGCCAGACAGGGACCAACAAGTATCATATTTTAACGTCTCTTGGTATGACGCGGTCGGGGATCGGACCCGCGACCTTCCGCTCTCCGTGCGGACGCTCTAACCACTACACCACGGAGGCGGTCTCCGCATTGTGAATGACCAACGCTTCGGTATGGTGTATTTGTGGAGGCAAGTTAACTCATCTGGATCTCGTTTTGTGTTTATCAATTTCTTGTAAATGTAAGGAAATTTTTTTTCATGGTAGACAATACCGGGGGTAATTCTGTTCCCCAAATGATTTTTAACTAGGACTATGCCCACTTATGCATGGTAATTTCGTTTTTCACAAAGAAACCACTAAAGTTAAAATTTTATCATTAATTTGCACCATTCCCATAAAATAAAATACGTCAGCACTAGAAAAAAAGAAAGGGAGAGAGAGAAAGAAAACCCCCACCCCCCACCCACACACACCCAAACAAATTAAAATAAATAAAAACTCTTCTTTAGAGGTGAATTTCTTGCCCATATAAGAGTCACCCCTTTTCCCTCCACGAGGCATTCGCTGATACAGGTACGCATTGCGCTCTATATCGGATAGACGCTTCAGAGGGAGATAAAACCAACAGCCCTGCCAGAAGTGCAAGCATACGTGAGTGATTGGACAGCTTAGCGCGATGGCTCACTGCGTGCAAATAAAGCGGATTCAGTTCCAAATACCGATACGAGATCTCTAGTTAATATTTGTACTGTATTTCTGAAATTAAATAACTCCTTAAAAAGACTGAAATGAATATCATCGTTTTTTAGCTACAAGTTATTTCACTGCTCACAGAAATAAATTTACAACCCTGCAATGTGTGAGACTTCCGCAACATCAACCCGAGAAAAGAGTGAGAAGCGACACTGACAACAATCGCTCTTTATATCTTTGATGTGCCGGTTGATTGACAGGTCCAGAGTTCCCATGACAGGTCTCGTGACCCAGGTCATGTACATTTCGTCTAGCAGGTGCCCGCCTACTCAGTGAGATCTTGAATAGCGCCTTCACAATAAACTGTTATGTGGAAGAAAATATGAAAGTTTCTGCAAGTCGTATTGTAATGTAATGGTCTCGTAAAGAATTACCACGTCACTTGACCATTTGACCCCTTCGACACCAACAATAGGTAATTTCAGCTTGCTCACGAAATACAACATTTTAAAGATGCGCAAGCTATTTTCTCATTTTCCATGACAACCATTGCAACCGACGACACAAGGATCAGAATGAATTGTCCACAAAGATGTATCAAATTTAAGAAAACAATTTTTTTTCTAAATACTAATTAAAACAGCAATTATCAAACGCGGTTAAAACCTTTAGCAAATGATCGGATTTTGTGATTTGTCTATTTTGGAACGTTTGGTATTCGTTTAATATTGTTGAAAATGCATCATCAGAACAGTATGTCATATTGTTGGTATATGTTGATTTTTATTATGTCTGATCACCAATAAAATGTTTGGTATGCTTGTTATCACCGAATCAGTCTTCAGCAATTCAATCATGAGGGGCAATGAACGTGATCGTATGGTCAGACTTGATTGATGCATGTTATCATATCCAAACGTAATAGCGATGTTCAAGAACCCAGTCATTGGATTGTCTGGTTCAGATTCGATTAGTCATATATATCCCAGGAATATAGCTGAATGGGGCGTTAAACGACAAATTTAGAAAGCTTTGTGCGTAACCTTGGCCCCGTTTCTGATCTGCGTCAAATTTCGCAAAACTATCATTACGACCGTCACCACAATCTGTGAGTGAGTGAGTGAGTATGGTTTTACGCTACTTTTAGCAATATTCCAGCAATATCACGACAGGGGACACCAGAAATGGGCTTCACACATTGTACCCATGAAGGGAATCGAACCCGGGTCTTCAGCGCGACGAACGAACGCTTTAACCACGAGGCTACCCCACCGCTCAATAAGCAGTACCTTGCATTCAAGATATTTGTTTTTCATAATGTTTCAGTTACTAGTAGTTGAACCCTGCAGTAAAGTTTATCATGAAGATGAAAAAAACCAGTGGCACAATATCCCAACCATCCAACCGCCACCCCTCCCAAAAAAACCAAGTCACAACAAAATAAATCCGAAGTTTTTCCTTCTTTCTGCTTTGTCTGACCCTGGGGAGGTGAAGGAGGGGCGTGGGGATCACGTGTTTCCCAGGGAAACAAGCACGTTTTTCGTCCCCATT